AATTATAAATTTCCTAATTTATCTATTGATTTGTGGTTAATATTGGTTCTCACAGTTACCACAAACTAATTAGTTCTCATTTGATTAGGCCCCTATATATATATATATATATATATATATATATATATATAAACTTGCCATTTGAGGGTTGGGTTCACGTGAGATCAAAGGATTTTCGTGAGATTCGTAAGACCAATTTATATTCATTGATCAACTTTATAAACTAATGATCTAATGGTCTAAAGTTGCACGGTGGCATTGTTGTAATTATTGAGAAGTCTCGTGGCGTTTATGAATGTTCAGATCTGACGATTGTAAATCTAATCCAAGGGTTGAGAATTGGTCTTACGGGTCTCACAAAAAACTATCGGTCTCACATGATCCCAAGTCTGCCATTTGGTTTAAATTTTGAGTTGCCAAACAACATATGATGTTTAAGAGTATTTATCCCAAGGAGTAAAACTTAATATTCAAATAAAACAGTTAACTACCTTGACATACGACTTCTAACACCGTGTACCAACCAAGTTCGCATACTTGGTACAGCTGGTACATATAGATGTTGGTTGATTTGGTACAAAATTACCATCCCTAACTTTGAAAGATGAAAATCTACCAAATAAGATAACTATTTCTCAAGCTCGAATTCGAACTCGAATTAAACTCGAACTAAGCTCGAACTGCAACTCAAACTCAAATCAAGCTCGAACAAAGCTCACTCATTGAAATTTATGAAATTTTAGGGTCTTTCTTTTATAAATTTTAAAACCTAAAGGTGTTTTCTTAGTTTTTATAAAACTAAAGAAATAAACTTCAAACTTCATCTTTAAAAAAACAAAGCTAAAAATTCCATTCACCCCTCTCGTTTTATAACATTTTTTCTCCAATCCGTTACCATATCTCTTTCAACGTGGGACAATTTCATTAACCTTTTTTATAGTTTTTCTTTGTCTTTTTTTTTTAATTGTGATTTTAATAAAAAATAACTGATTAATTTTTATAATTAAAAAATGTATAGTTGTTTAAATATCTAAAAATATAAGACATTCTTATTATTTATATCTTACAAATTTTATCATATAAACTCATTATATTTTAAAACTAATTATACATAAAATAATCGAGTATCTCACGAGTTGTTCGAGTCGAGTATTGACCGAGTCGATTTTGAGTAGCTTGCGAGTTATCTAGTATTATTTACTTCCCTATTTACAAGTCAAAAAACTTAATATTAAAGTTGAGAATTATATCAAAAAGAATAAATCCTTAATGTATGAAAGTTAATCTTCATTAATGAGGGATTAAAATGGGACAAAAATACAAACTACAATACAAATATATATTAAATGAACTCTAGGGATTAAAACCAACAATTCCGGAAAACCATGAGGACCAAATTGAAATTTACTCTAAAAATAATTTTATAAAAATGCCACATCAACCACAAACTCGTGTCAATAAATGAATTATAAAAGGGTAGGTAAATGCAAGTAAATGCAACTGATAATCCAATAAATTGTGATAATTTTAGAAATGGTATATTATATGATATTTTATGTGATTTTCTTTATTTATGACTTGAATTTAATATATTGATTAATATATATTTGTTTCATAATGTGTTTATATCATACGTATTTATTTTACTATGTTAAACTTTTTAGTTGTATTTGTTGTTTAATATATATTTGTTTCATAATGTGTTCATATTGTGAAATAAATATATGTTAGACAAATAAATTGCGAAACAAATATATGTTAATAAATACACTAAATCTAGACTATAAATGAAAAAAACATCACGTGAAGTCGCACACATATTAATATAAAGACCTATTTTTTACATTTTTAATTTATGATTTACGTGGATTATGATATAAAACAAATAAATATACGGGGATGTTTACCAAATCTTATCGGGTAAGTGTTGTCCGGGTAAGAGTGCTGACCCGGGTAAGTGCTATTCCGGTAAGTGCTGTCCCGAGTAAGATTGTTTACCAAAAACTTCATACTTCTTTTTCAAATACCCACCATGTTTTCTTTATATGGGGTTGCCTTGCCATGGTGGGTTAGCCAGACAACCAACATATTACGGTGAGTTTTAGCATATATTCTCAAACTGTGTGAAAATACCTGTTACACAAATTGTGGTTCCCAAATCGATTACCTGGGATGAAAGGCGAGCGACTATGAGGCTTAAGCTAATTGTGTGAAAGGGGCAAGCGACTATGAGACTGGGATGAAAGGCGAGCGACTATGAGGCGAGCGACTATGAGGGAAAATACCTGTTAYAGGCTGGAGGAAGGAACGATGGGGGAGAGGGGAGGAGCGACTGGAATGGAGCGASAGGCTGGAGGAAGGAACGATGGGGGAGAGGGGAGGARCGACTGGAATGGAGCGATGGAGGAGAATGAAAACCTAATTGTGTGAAAGGGGCAAGCATGGAAAGAAGAAATCTGACTCGGGTAAGCAACATTTTCGTGCGGTCTCGGTCCAATATTCGGTCAGCATCTCGGTCAGCTTCCGGTCAGAGTGGTAACTCGGTAAACAAACTGA